TTCCATTTGCATCGAATATCTTTCTCCATCCCCTCACTTTCAGTCTGTATTTGTCCCTAGGTCTGAAGTGGGTCTCTTGTAGACAGCAAATATATGGGTCTTGTTTTTGTATCCATTCAGTGAGCCTGTGTCTTTTGGTTGGAGCATTTAATCCATTCACGTTTAAGGTAATTATCCATATGTATGTTCCTATTACCATTTTCTTAATTGTTTTGGGTTTGTTTTTGTAGGCCCTTTTCTTCTCTTGTGTTTCCCACTTAGAGAAGGTCCTTTAGCATTTGTTGTAGAGCTGGTTTGGTGGTGCTGAATTCTCTTAGCTTTTGCTTGTCTGTAAAGCTTTTGATTTCTCCATAGAATCTGAATGAGATCCTTGCTGGGTAGAGTAATCTTGGTTGTAGGTTCTTCCCTTTCATCACTTTAATTATATCATTCCACTCCCTTCTGGCTTGTAGAGTTTCTGCTGAGAAATCAGCTGTTAGCCTTATGGGAGTTCCCTTGTATGTTATTTGTCCTTTTCCCTGGCTGCTTTCAATAATTTTTCTTTGGCTTTAATTTTTGCCAATTTGATTACTATGTGTCTCGGCGTGTTTCTCCTTGAGTTTATCCTGTATGGGACTCTCTGCGCTTCCTGGACTTGGGTGGCTACTTCCTTTCCCATGTTAGGGATGTTTTCGACTATAGTCTCTTGAAATATTTTCTCGGGTCCTTTCTCTCTCTCTTCTCCTTCCGGGACCCCTATAATGCGAATGTTGTTGTGTTTAATGTTGTCCCAGAGGTCTCTTAGGCTGTCTTCATTTCTTTTCATTCTTTTTTCTTTATTCTGTTCCGTGGCAGTGAATTCCACCATTCTGTCTTCCAGGTCACTTATCCGTTCTTCTGCCTCAGTTATTCTGCTATTGATTCCTTCTAGTGTAGTTTTCATTTCAGTTATTGTATTTTTCATCTCTGTTTGTTTGTTCTTTAATTCTTCTAGGTCTTTGTTAAACATTTCTTACATCTTCTCGATCTTTGCCTCCATTCTTTTTCCGAGGTCCTGGATCATCTTCACTATCATTATTCTGAATTCTTTTTCTGGAAGGTTGCCTATCTCCACTTCATATAGTTGTTTTTCTGGGATTTTATCCTGTTCTTTCATCTGGTACATAGCCCTCTGCCTTTTCATCTTGTCTATCTTTCTGTGAATGTGGTTTTTGTTCCACAGGCTGCAGGATTGTAGTTCTTGTTTCTGCTGTTTTCCTGGCCCACGGTCCCCAGGGCTGTCGTGGCTTCGGCTGCTGAGGCCCCTCCAGAGCTCCAGGGCAGTTCAGTGACGGCAGAGGGAAGAGTCCCCAAGCCAGAAATTCCAGCTCTGCGGAAATGCGGGCTCCGTTCTGGGCGCAGGGGGTGGGACCGCTCCAGGAAGTGTTTTACACTTATTTTCTGTAGAGAGTCTTTGGTCCTGGTTGTAGTCATGGTTCTGAAATACTTTTTTTTTTTTGCCAGAATCTACATACTCTCTCAAGCATATAACTTTGCCATTGAATTTATATATTCTCTAAAAACTGTGTGCAGTAATTTCTCCTGTGAAACTTGAACTTAGTGGTAGCACTGAAAACTCTTCTGAGCTGTAGAGTTCACAAACAAAGGGGCTTCTGAAAATCAATCACCAAAAACAATTTGTGAGAAACTTGTGTGTTTCTCAGATAGCATGACTGGGTACAGATGGGAGTTCCTTTGCCTGAGGGGCTGCTGTAATGAGATTAAACTCTGGTTTGGGCTGATCTGCCTCCAAGGCTTGGGGACTTGGTTCTTGGAAACAAAGAACAGACAGAAAACTTCTTTAGGCGTTATAAAGGTTTGTTGGGAAAAGGATGAAAAAAAAATCCTTTTAACAGTTTACAATGAATAGTATTAAAATTGTGCCTCAAATTCTTGAGCTAACAAGGGAAATCCTGGGACCTAGCAACTCTTCATATTTTTTCTCACAAAATTAGATCAGTTAAGGTGGCTCAGTACTTTCAGGAAAATGCGAGAGCAATGTATTAATCAGTTGAATAATTATTATTTATTATTATTATCTTTTGCTATTTTATGGTTTGTTTAGGAAATTTGGGAGTGACTGTTTCTTTCTCCTTTGCTTCATTTTTTTGGCACCTGGGGGCAATCTGGAACCCTAGCCCACCTGTGCCTGAATTCTAGGTATAGGCTCTGAAGCAAGTGTGGTTAAAAGAAAGGTGCCATTGCATATTTTATGGATGCTGCCACCAGAATGTCTGCTGAGAAATGAAAACGTTCCCGTTTCCAGACACAAGAGGGCACTGTAAACGGACAGCGTAGGATACAGCATCAAAAGGGAGGGATGGAGGGAAGGAGGAAGCTTAGTCAAAGGTACTATTGAATTCAGGCATCTCCCTAGCTGTCTCCGTTTTTCCCCCTTCTCCCCGCCCCTCACCTCACCCCACCCCCACCTTGCCCTAGGAAAAGAACTGTCCGGGCCTTGGATTCCCTCTTCTCATGGTTAAATCGAGATTGAGGCTTTCAGAGTCAGAATTCCCAAATCTCTTACTTCAGTAAAAATCTGCATGTCGCTTTCCTCTGCTAACTTATATCATTAACCTCATTTGATGTTGCTTCCCTAAGAATGTTAAATTAAAATCTCGTTTTCTGATGCCAGCAGAATTGAACTGAGCTCTAAGTTGGATATAGTATGGGCTAATTTCTTCCCCACAAACTCTTGTATGGCCTTTATTGAGGGTGAATTTTGCACCAACTTGTGTTTAACCTTCTGAGCCTTGCTGTACTCAGCACCCCTAGAATAGGGTCAACGGCACAGAGCTGGTGTATGCAGAGATTCTCAAACGAAATGTAAATTTGGAATGTAATTGGGAACCCAACAGGGAGGTTTTGCCTTTAACGGATGGAGTCTTGGTGGTACAATGTAGGTGAGTTTTGAAGTTATTCAATCTTCACAGGTATCAAAATGGTTTAATCTCTACTAGAGAAGTGTTTAAGAGAAAAGAATCTATTCTTCTGGCTACTGTGCATTAAGTAGAGAGATTAGAGTGCCCATAGCCCGTGGATTTTTTTTTTGAAGAAGTTTAAAATATCTTAAAAGAATGGCAGAATTCAACCCAGATTCCTAGGATCACACCAATGATTCCACCGGAACAGATGAAGATATGTAATATAGTATTTCAGTGGACTGACACTGGGACTAAAATATTGAAATTACCATTTCAAAGACGCACACTGGTGAATGCTTACATGCCCAGGGTCTACAAGAAAGGCAAAAATCTAGGAAAAAAACATAAACAGGTCTGAATATTTCTTAGCGTTCTTTTTTGTTTCTTTTCAGTGACCCGGAGCGTTTGCTACGTGCTTAGGAATGTGGCTGAGCTTTCTTAACCCTAAGAACAGCATGATGGGTGCGTCAAGGTTGAGGGTGGAGGGTCCACCCTGACAAAGGCAGGTGTGCTCCTGACCTGGCAAACCCGTCATTTTCCTGTTGCAATAATCATTTGACTCATCTTTAAAGCTGTTATATTTGAACTGACATTTTTCTGTGGTGAGCCAAATCTTGGCACACAAAATTTGTGCAAAGTCCTCCTGTCTTATAAAATATAAATCTAGGGCCTCAGATGGAATAAATGGAGATTGCAGTCCTGAACATTCATCTTTCTTATTTGAACGAACAAACCTTCCTTCCTTCCTGGAATGTGACTTAACATTTAAAATTCCTATTGAGCCTAGAAAAATGGTACAGATGAGCTGGTTTGCAGGGCAGAAATAGAGACACAGAAGTAGAGAACAAATGTATGGACACCAAGGGGGGAAAGCGGCGGGGGTGGTGGTGGTGTGATGAATTGGGAGATTGGGATTGACAGATATACACTGATGTGTATAAAATAGATAACTAATAAGAACCTGCTGTATAAAAAAAATAAAATAAATTCAAAAATAAAATTCCTATTAAATCTCTGGGTACACCCAGAGACCTCAGAAGGTTCTCTCCAGAGACAGCAAACATCCTCCCTGCACTTGGCAAAAGAAGAAACGGATGCTTGCGTGGTGTGCAGGCTCAGGTGCTCGGGGCTGCTCTGTGGAAGAGAGCCACTGAACCTGGGCTGCCAGAAAAAATGTTAACTTTGAGTTGAAAATAAGCATTTGAACTTGAAAGAGGCCAACACATCTGTAGGACACATGGAATTTCGATGGAAGCAGTGGCCAAACTGAGCTGCCTTGCCCTCCAAGACAGGGGACTTGGGGCTTCTTGGGATGTGGGCCCCCGGTATCCCCTCTCCCTTCCTCAGGTAACAGGAGCCCTGCTGGACACAGCCCCTGTGCTTCTGGGCAGCCGACCCCAACCCAGCTTGGGGGTGGGCTCTGATTAGTCTATGCTAATTAGCACGTCATTTGCTGATTGGTTGAGGGACAAGCCTACTAGTAGTCTGGGCCAATGATATGCAAGACCCTCGCTGGGACTTTTGAGAAAGACACTTGATCCATGTGGACGCTACCTGGAGAGCTTCTCTTTTCTTCTGGAAAGTGTAGGGGTGGACATGACTCTTAGGAGTGAGGCAGCTATTTGCCACCATTCTGAATACAATGTCAGCCCAAGGAGGAAGGGAGAGCTGAGATAACCAGGAGAAAGGGGCTAGAGTCCTGATCCATTTGGACCCAAGGCATACTTTGATACTGGGCTTTGCAGCCACTAAACCAATACCTTTTCTTTATTGTTTCCACGAGGCTAAGGTTTATATTACTTGCAACCAAGGTTTCCAAACTACCGTGTTGTGTCTAAGATGATCGGGGTGCACATCCATCTATATGCGTGTAACGTACTGGCAGGGCCATTGTCAGGCATTGTTTTTTCCAAAAGGTTACCTGTCCCGAGAGAAACAGTATTGTTCAGAGCTCTGTGCCACAAAACTTCTAGTCTCTAAAGTTTTCTTGAAAGTACTACCTAGTACACTGGATGATAAAGTGGGCATAAATTAAAAAGAAAAAAAACAAGCCAGGTGTCAAATGCAGCATATTTTAATTTGTTTCAAATAAAGCAATATATGTATATATATATTTTTCAGAAAAACACCAGATGTTAAACTCTAGAAAAGCGCACGTGTCTTCAGCAGATCAAGTTTGTCTGATCAATAAGAATTTTGTTTTCAACATTAACTCTCTAAAGACGATCAATGGACTGACATCACTGCTACAACATAGGTTGCTACTGAGCCTCTGATCTTTAGCCACAACTTGATTTTCCTAACAAATGAGTAAATACTGCCTGGCTAAAATGCTGCAAAGTCTTGATGAGAAAAAGCGCCAACATATCAAGCAAAGCCATGAAAGTTATGAAGCAAGCTAGAGCTGATTATTAGAATTAGAAAAAATGATTAAGAGAGGATGACACAGCCGTACAGGGTTTGTATATTCGGATTGACTCTCTTTTGGCAGCGAATTGGGTCAGCACCTCGGGCAGGGAACAGAAACTGAATGAAAACAGCTTTTTTTTTTTTTTCTCTCCTAGCTCAGGCCACCAACGTCACAGCTGGGACGGAGAGAACCGCGGCATCTGTGGAAACTTCTATTCTCGTGGGGCAGAGATTGCACTGTGAAACCCTGGAGACGTTTCCCCGGAAAGGCCTGGCCTCTGAGTTGTCTGCAGCGTGCTGCCTTCGTCGGGGCTTTTCCGGATGGGCTGCGGCCTCGGGGGTCTTGGTTCCCAAAGAGGCCTCTTGGTTTTTGGTGCTGCCTTTGTTTTTGGGACGGAAGCCGTTGTGTGGTTGTCTTCTGTGTTCATGGCGGTTGTTGCCCTTCCCCATCGGATCAGCTTCGTTACCACTGCCCTGGGGCTTCGCAGACCCATTTAGCCTGTTGTTGTGATACTGCGGATTAAATCTTCGTCTTTGGCTAGAAGACCCATTCTACCAAAAAAAAAAAAAAAAAAAAAGAGGTATTAGATGCCAACAAACCTCAGATGACATCAGTAGACATCAGGGAAACCAAATCTCTAAGTCACAGGTAAGCTTTTTTACACCCCAGAAGAATGTGACAACATGCAAATGAGGTCAAGCTGATAGAATCCTCGAGCTTAAAAGAGCAGCGGGGCTTCTCCGGTGGCGCAGTGGTTGAGAGTCCGCCTGCCGATGCAGGGGACACGGGTTCGTGCCCCGATCTGGGAAGATCCCACATACCGCGGAGCGGCTGGGCCCGTGAGCCATGGCTGCTGGGCGTGCGCGTCTGGAGCCTGTGCTCCGCAACGGAGAGGCCACGGCAGTGAGAGGCCCGCGTACCGCAAAAAAAAAAAAAAACAACAACAATAATAAGCAAAGAAAAAAAGCTATGAAGCTGTATTTAGACAAGTGAAACAGATCTGGTTATGATCTTGAATCTATGACTGTATGAAATACTCCTTGTCCAAGTGCTATTTTAAAGTTCATGAAGATATCTGGGGCCAGAGAAATGCCTGTCACAGTCACTAATGAGAATTCTAAAAGACCAAGACCACAAAATCCAACAGGGCACTTGTTAGAAAACCAGCATTTTGGAATGCGTTAAAAAAAAAGTCTCTTTATTCAAGCTCTCTTTCTGAGAGCTCAGGAAAAATGTCTTTATAGCATTCCCAGCTTCTGAATCATCAAAACCCATTTCTTGGTCATTCTCTAATGATAAGGAGGAAATCACGTCTCAAGGATATAGTGGAGAAGCAGAAGGAGAGAAGACTGTCCTTTTGGATACTTCTATTTTTAAGGGTCATAGTAGATAAGAATTAATAATGTCATTTTGAAATGTATTCTCTTTACTGAAAGCCCAATAGAAGAAAGTGCAGTTTGAACTAACTTTGGCCTCTTACAGAAAAACTAGACATAAATGGGAGTTAAAGGATCATAAAAAAACATGTCAGATTTCTTCTCACTAATGGTGTCAGTGGCCAGATTCTGAATCTTGTTCCCATGTCTGTGTGAGTCCCTTCCACATGTGGGCCAGTTACGAGGACCTGGGTGGCACTCAAGGCATGAGAAGCACCGTCTCATTTAGGTGGACTCTTTGCTGATGCTGTCAAGTGTGTGAAGACCACTTCCTCCACAGGGGACAGCGCCTATGAAATGGGGACCGGATGGGACCGGGGGAGCTCTGGGAGGCCGGGCTGGCAGAAGGAGGCTCTGGAGGTCGGGCTGCTGCTGGGGGTGGGCGGAACCTGGGTGTGACCAGTGGTGGCTGTTTTCTTTGCAAACGAGTGGTTTCTTGCCCAGGAAATGCACTAGGGTCTGCGGGACTCCTGGAAGCAGGGCAAGGTGGCCTCCCTGGAGCAGTTTACCTGCTTATTAGCCGGCACAGCCTGGTGAGAGCTGTCAGCGGTGCTGGGAAGGTTGCTCGCCAGTTTGGGGTTTGCTGCTTTACCCTCGGAGGGCTTGTTGTGATTGGATGATTTTCTGGTGAAGTTACTCTGTTTCCCAGAGGTGGTCGCGTGAGCGTTGAGCAGTGGCAGCAGGGAGCTGCAGGGAGTTCTTGAGGAATAGTTGTTCTTTGGATGTGTAACTGCAACAAGAAAGCACTTGGTGTTAGGGGCTGTGCCTCGGTAACCCATTAGGAGATGGAGAAATTGGCAGGAGCTTCATAAAAACATTAAGTTTTTGTTTTTGTTTTTCTTTTGGAAAGATATCGTTTGAAAAAGCACCTAGGTGCTTGGAGACCACCAAATGTCTTCTGTGAGAATCACTGAATAGCATAATCATTCAGGTTGGGAGACATTTGTAGGAAATGAGACAGATCTGAGCACCTTTAATATTATGCCTTAGGTCAAGAACCACCAAGGGAAGAGGGATAATGAAACCCCGAAGTGCCCTCTCAGCCCTGTCCACAAAGGTACTCTGCCTCTTGGGTTCCCCATTACCAAACCTGTTCTTGCTGTTCTTGTCATATCCCTAGACCCGTTGGTGTTGCAGAGATGCAGAAAAACCTAGAGGTACACGGACACTTGGCTGGTCAGAGCCACAATATTTTGAGAGCTTCAGAATGGGGTGATGCCAGGTGTCAGGAATTTTGTCACCCTGGGGTGGTATATATCCCCTGACCTTACGGCCATGCCTGCCGGCCCAAAAGATGCCTCAAAGCATCTTCTATATTCCATTAGAGTTACATTATCTGGCCTTTTATCAACTCCATTTTCTACAGCCCCACTGCAAATCTGCAACAATTCCAATGCTAAAGTCCACGCAGGCTAATCAGATCCCCGGCAGGGCTCGGACAGGTCTGTTCAATTTTTATTATCACCCTTCCCACTGGTTTTGAAAGGGGTGGTTTTTGATGGGATATTTCTGTGCGATTATGCTGAATCAGGGCCGGAGGGAATCAACTTAAGGACATAATCATGACTTTCCTCTCGTAGTTCACCAGAATTTGACTGCCCGTCTGGACAGCAAGATCTCTGAATCTTAAAAAATTGTCACCAGTTTTTAAAAGCAATTTTCTCTGCTACCTGTGTTGGATCAGACTTAATCCTAGCATTCTTCCTGAGGATTTGGAGTGTGAATAGGGATCACAGGACATTAGAAATGGAAAGGACAGGGATGAATCTCCAGTCCCTTCATTTGACAGGTAAGGCGTGATGGCACGTCGGGTACTGTCCAAACATGACGAGGGGATTTTAGCAGCTCTTTGCTAACTAGATTCACTTTCACAGGGGTCATTACTATTTCCGGTTCAGTAGCTGTGGGCTTTCCATGTGCTCTCAACAAAGCTGAGAAGAAAAGGGCCTTTCAAGGACTCCTGTCTCCAACAAGGGAGGCTGGCTTCCAATGTGGACACCTGGGATTCGGTAAGGGATGGTTCCTCCCACTAGATGGCACTGGAGGGCTCTGGAGGAGAGCAGGTGACGCTACACCGCCCTCCCCTCCTCAGATGGTGGCAGAGTCACTTGGCATCAGGGTCTTGCCCATTATCAGCCTGGAGTGGCAACTAGGATAGGCAGTTACATTTCCAACTGTGAATCAGAGAGTCTGGTTTTTTAGAGGTGAGGCAAAATCTGGGGATGGAGAATGGCAAGTGGGGTAGATTCATAAGGGAGGGAGTGTATAGAAAAAAAATAATTTAAAAGAAATGCAGTCAAAAATTCAGATAATTGCCGAAGATATGTGAGCAAGGATGCTCACAGCAGTGTTATTTTAATGGTGAAAAACTGGAAGCAACCTAAATGTCCACAATCAAGGGACTGATTATGCCAATTATATTTAAATAAATTACGGGTTAAATACATTGACATGGAAAAATGTCAGCCATATATTGTGAAATGATAAAAGCAAATTCTCTTACTATATATGTATATTGTATAGTATAGTAAATGATGTAGTATAATTAAGTATACTGTATAATTTACACAGTAGAGTTATGTGCATAAAAAGTGTGATGGGGCCACAAAACTAATGTCATGTTCTATTTTATATAGTTTGTAATTTTTAGATCAAGCTTATATTTTTTATACTCAGAAAAAAATGCAATTTCCACTTTGAAAAAAAAAAGTGAAGCCAAATCTCAATTTTTCAGTTCACTACGAGGCTGTAGATATTCCATGTCCTTCACCAGTTGTTCCTTCCTCCTTGTGGCGTCCTTGAAGCCACTTTGGTGCTCATTCCCACCTCCCCGGTGGGTGGGCTGGAGCAGGGGAAAAAGGATCAGGCAATTTTGTTGCATGTTAACTGCTCTAATTAAGGGAGAGGCTCAGTCAGGCACTGCTGAGCAGCGTGTGTGACACACACACACACACACACACACACACACACACACACACACACACACACACACACACACACACACAGGACAGCTGGGCCCTTCACGACAGTAGCCCATTGTTCTCAGACTCGTTAGGGAGACTCCCTCTCCCTGTAACAGGTCTCTATAGAACCAGGCAGTTTGAATCAGAGAGGCAGTTGATCTGGCAGTGCTTAAGAAAAGTTTGCGAAAGATATAAACTAGTTGACCTGTTCTGTTCCGCTTAATAAATCCTAGGGATTTACTGATGGGGCAGTGGCATTTGAAGACTCGAAGTTCGGATCTTGACATTTTTAGCGACTTGTGTCATGACCTTAGATCATTAAATCTCTTTAGACCTCACTTTAGCCCCCTGGGGGACCGCACACCTGACATTTCTGATATCAACTCCAAATAGCACCAGGCTTATGCACACAGAATTATTTAGCAAGTATGCAAAACTCACTTTCTCCACAGAGCATGATTTGGGCCTTTAGCTGTTCAATGTCACAGGAGAACCGGGCAGCTTTCCCAAGCTCTTCATCATATTTACGCTCGCTGACAAAGTGCTGTAGGGAAGAGACAGGAGACCCATGATTGCAGAAATGACTGAGGCATGCTGCTGATCCATTCTCGGCTCTCCCGCCACCACTGATGACGTGAAAGCATCCCCGGGTGGGGAAGCATGCCAGCTCTGTCACTGGGAGGCTCTGTTAAAGCAGGCTTGGTTTTGGCCTGCCTGGAGCACGTTCACCTTCTTCTTCTGGGAAACACGTGTGGGTCCTGTCTGTACAGGCAAAATGTGTGTCTGGACTCATCTACTTAAACCTTTTAGCACCCCACGCCCTCCTTCTAGCACTTCCTGTCCTATTGTAAATTACGGGATTGCCTTCTGGCAGTCTTCCTAATCTGGCCAATGGTCTCCTAAGGTATCACTCCTCATGAGAAAGCATGTCATCCTTCCTAGACGTCCGTCTCCATTTTAATAGGGTACCAGGAAGTCCAAAAAGCCTTCAGTATCGATAACTAGAAACCATTATCTTGAATGGTAGAATTTCAAGTGCTGTTAAAGGAAGTGGGAAAGAGATTACTTTTCAGTTCATTTAAAATTAAGATCTATGTGTAGATGACAGAGTGAGAAATACAGAAATAACTATGGGTCAGTCCCTCTGTGATCTACCAGGGAGGTTACCACATGGCAAGAGAGACAGATACCACAAGATACAATATAACGTAGAATGTAGTAGGTGCTTTAGGAATATGAAAGAGGAAGAAATTATTTCCTACTGAGGGGAATGGGTAAAGAGTTATGTAAGAGGAAGCATTTGAGCTGGAACATTAAAAAAAATATTGAACACTTACCAGACATGGGCCAAATTCTTAACAGATAATCTCATTTTCAGCTGATCACATTATTATGAAGTCAGTACTAACATTAACTGTAATTTACAAAGGGGGAATCGAGGTTCTAAGAATCTAAGAGAATATGTAATTTATCCAAGGTTGCAAGAGCAGGACTGTTGCACTCCAAAGCCTGTGCTATCAACCATTTTACGATGAGTGGGATTTTGATGGGTAGAAGTGAAACTTGGAAGATGAGTGGATTTCAGTTGACCAGGAAGCTGGCAACTTCATATTTATCAAAACAAGTGTGTGTTTGTTTGTTTGGCTTTCCAGGATGTTTTTCTGGGTATCAAGATGGGTTCTGCCAACCAGCCCCATTCCCCATTCTAATCTCCTTTGGGACCAGGGAACATCTGTGACATTAGAAGTGCATCTGTGTCCACAAGATGAAGGGTTTTGTTCTACTGAAACTAATTAGCAGTGGCCATAATAAATATATACTGGAGTCCAGTGGTGGATTTTATTTTGAAGGGAAGAGAAGATGATAGTGGGGGAGACCAGACCTGCTCTAATAACTCTGGTCTCAGGGTGAATGACCAGGCTGGAGGGAGACAGTGGATGCAGGAAGACTAGTCAGGATGCCACTGCAATTGACTGGGTTGGAGGAAACAAAGACCAGGAGAGCAGGTGAGAAGGGAAAGACCTACAGAACTTCTCAGAACCTTCAGGGGAAATCCTCATCCCCATGGGGCTCTCTTTTATGCCTAACCAGGATGGAGGGGACCAAACTCACTTGCCACTTTCTACCATACCCAACCAGTGGTTATGCTGGGATAAGCAGACAATCCTACTTATAAAGCTAGCAACAAATATGACTTCAAAGTACGCTAGTTCCCTAGAAGTCGGTCAGAAGCTGGAGTGCGTGTGCATGTGTGTATGTTTACTGTATTGGGGAAAATGAGGATAAGGGAAAATTTATAAACTGTAACTTCCTATTTTGTTGTAGATACTTGTTTTTGCCTTTCTGCTAACAATTTCTCCTTCTGGTAACTGTACCCCAATGCGGTTTCCAAGATTCACAGCGTTGGTGGGTCTTTCAGTCAAGACCTCTCTTGGCCAAATGGTGGATGTGACCCAAGTGGAGGCCAATCAGTATCTCTGTTTGGGATTTGAATCCAGTGGGGTGGCCCAAGGGGTGACGACATCTGGAGGTCACTCACTCTGATGGTGCCCTGAAGAGTGTCTGGTAATTACTGCTGCCAACATTTCTGCCCAGTTATAACCTGGAGTCTTCAGAGCACACTCTGCTTTGGTGAGCTACCCTCATGTCCTTTCCAATTCTACTTGTTCTTGAGGTTAGCCAGGGTCAGCTTCTGTTGCGTGCAACTAAAGAAATCCACTAAATACATATTTGTGGGTGGTATTCTTAATAAAAGGGCAAGTAAGCTAGAAAAGGATATAGGAAAGAAGTCTCCACACATTGTACATTCTTTAGAATCCTTACTGTTATACTAAGTTCACACTTAGTGTGTGTTCACATGTGTGTGTGTTTATATACATATGCATAAATTACATATGGTGAAAATAATGTTCCCCTTCCCAGCTATAATTTATGGTTCAATACATTTTATTTGGGTCAGTTCCACTGGCTAAAAGAATAGCTTGTACCTCTCCTCTGTAATGATATAGCCCTTCAACACATAGTCTACTTAAATATAGTGACTAGGTGTTTCTTTAACCCTTCTGTATTCTTGATTTCAACCCTGTGAAAGACAGCTGGGTGTCTGATGTTAGATCCTCAGAGAACAGCACTCTATGGATGCAGAATAGACATAATGGGGATCAGAACTCTGGCTCAGGGTTCAGGCTGTGATATTTTAGAACTGACCTTAATTTCTGCCCTGAGTTCGGCCAGCTGCATCTCTGCCATCTGACTGGCTAGATCAGTAAGTCTCTTTAGTTCTTCTGCTTTCTTTTGACGAGCAGTCAGGATTTCCACTGCCAGATAAGAAGGAATAATACATTAAGGCCAAAGATGTAAACATATTAAACGACCTAATTTCTTGGATCAGTTCTCTCTCCACAGACGGATCGCTTTGTTGGGCCATGGCTGTTTTCTGAGTTGGTCACTAAGCTGGGCTGGCCCTTGATGCTCATCACCAACCACTCATTTCCTTATGTCTTTATCCACCAAGCCCCAAACCAAACACGGTCCTTTCGGATTCACTGTACACCCACAATCTTCTTCATTTTCCCCACTGGCATCTGATCTCACTTACTTAGTTTGGACTTTTAGATTTGTGCATTACTCAGAACAACTATCTCCAAGAAGAAGAAGAAAAAAAACCATTAAAATCCTATCTGAATGCTAATGCAAAGACAGTGAGTCCACTCAGCAAAAACCATTATTCTGTATGTGCTGTACTATCAAATTCTAACAACATCAGACCCTCTGAACTTTAACACATATTCATTTAGGGCAACTAGCTGTGTTATTGGAAGATGACATAGAAGTTTTCCTTTATTAGCTTTTTGTGAGCTAAAAAATGCCTCTGCTTTTGCTACTCTGCAGATATGTTTCCATTTTGCAACCAGAGAGAAGTTGCAGACCAGAGTTTTTGTTATAAGTGTCCACAATGGAAAAATTTCAAGGGTGAGTCAAAGCTTGCTTAAGCTGAATTCGTGTGCACTCTAGCATCTGCACATGCAGCGAAGTCACAAGGGAATTCTCGGCATCACATTTCACACACCTGTCAAGATGAACTACTCAAGGTTCAAGTAGATGTAGGAGCCCACAGGTTAATTGTCTGTGTGTGTGTGTTTCCCAAAAGACCATGGAGCTCAAAGGCAATGAATACAAATACATTGGGTGAGATTTAAACAAGAAGTTTGGTTTTAGAATAGATAAGATTTGTAGTTCTCTCATTCCAGTCACATATGAATTGCCTTCATTTCTTTTGGACAAAGATTTTGAGTTATAACAAAAGAAAAGTCCACCTAACTAATACGATGTGCACATGGAATTCACATTCCATTCTTGGCTGGACAAGGGTCAACTGCTTTATTAGACCAGATTCACAGCCCAATGCCCAAACAAGGTGCTTTCTGACTTTAAGAGTTCTTAATTTATAAATGTCAAAAATAGTTGCTTCAGAAGCCCCAAAAGAAGTTCAGAGTCAATCAAGAGTTAAGATTTCCTGCAAACCATAAGCCATTCCTCAGACAGGATGAGAAATATCTTTTTATGCTGATACCAATGTTGAGATGTCAAGAAAATAACGAATCTATAACTCATAAAGCCTAACCATCTGCCAACCTACTCTAATCACGCTTTAATTATTTACCGGGACGCCCCCTGCCTCCCATGTACAATTCCAGGTAGCTAGGCAGACTGAATTGTGCCTAGCTAGCATTTCAGAGTACAGAGCAGCTAGTGAAAAACTTGTCCTGATGATGGGAGCGAAAGGAATTTTCATCTGAACGTAGAAAATGTATTACTGAGTGATGTCCCAGGTCACCCAGTCAGACCAGAGGTCACAAAAAGGTAGCCAGCTATCACTTTCAGTGACAGGGTACATATATTTTGTTTGGTCCACACATTACTTTTCCAAATAAATCACCCACACTTGAAAGTTAAGTGATTCCATTCAAAAGCTGGATTTCTGGTTGCTCTTAAAATATTGTTACTTCTGGCTACAGCAGGCATCTCTAGTCCTGGCAAAAACTGCACATTTAGTTCTTTGTGTCTGCGATACCTAGGGCCTGGTACACAGTGAGTGCCCAATATGTTTGCTGAATGAACGATTCCAACGAATGGATCAATGCATTACTTAAAAGGAATATGCAAAGAATGAATCAATGCATTACTTAAAAGGAATATGCAAAGAAAGGCAGAAGTTCCTTTTCTACAGGGACCACTTGAGAATATCTAGGACTCATACCTTTGACTGATTATTTATTTCCCAATATAATTCAACATATGGATGGGACTAAAGCCTGGAGAATGAGAAAATGATTCTTGAGTAGGAAGATGAAATGAGGTACTTTCCTCTTGCAAAGTAAGATAAATAAGAATGCTGAGGGCTCAGCTTTGATGAGCAGCTAGTAAAGGGGTCAACAGACCCTGAGAGACTACATGGATAAACAGATCTGACTTTTCTTAACAGATCATTTGTGGGACTGGTGACAATTAGGGGTAATTTTTCTTTTTGATTAAGTAGAATTTGAGCATTCATACCAAACAAAAGATTTTGTAGAAATAGATATAAATGGGCCCTAAAATAGAAATGCAGGTGCAAGATCACCAATAAATTCTGAGTTTACACTCATGCAAATGTGCATGGGAATGAACACTTTGCATCAGCAAGTGTTGGGATGAGTTTTACATATAGTCTCATTAACATTTCAAAGACTTTCATTATGAAAAAGTCCTAAAACTTGAGATCAAAAGCCAATATTCTCTGGGGGGAAGCCAACATTTTCACCTCAAAAACATCAATCACAGAAACAGAAAGCAAAACCGAAACAGATCAGTTCCTAAAATTCATTGATCCTATAATTTCAAATAGAATAGTAAGTATGTTTTGAAAGCACCATCCTTTTGGAAATTTGTAGAGGGAGACAGTCCCATATGGCTTTAGATTTTCACTGCATTCAACACTCGATTAGTATTATTTATGTAGTATCTGGTATGCTGAAATCCATTCGCTCTGTAGGATTTATAATTTCCTTCAAGTTTCTGGAACACATTAGAAGCTTGCTCTTATTACTTGAACCATGGAAAATTTTAGGGCTTCTTGAATAATATGTCTTAGCAGAGGGTATACTTGAAATCCTGGGGGATGGGGGGCCAGAATCTGGGGCCCAAGTAGCTCTTCAAGCACAAAGGTTCTTTGAAATCCTTTTAATTCCTTAAAAATTCTTGTGAATTTTGCATTTTACTTCATAATAGATCTATGTTCCTGTTAATATAAAGTAATGTTTTCTTCCCATCTCTAGTAAATTTGACACTCTGAGAACACACCTGTCTAGGCCTCCAATTCCCTGGGCAGGCAAAGTTTGAGATCATAGCACGACAGCATCCTTACTTTCTTCATCTGTAAAATGTAATAATCATATGCCCCTCACAGGGTTATTGTGGAACTGAATGAAATAACCTATGTGAATTGTTTAGAATAGTACCCTAAAAAACCCTAACTACAAATACTATTATTCTTTTTAATTTAAAAAAATAAATTTATATATTTTATTTATTTTATTTTTGGCTGCACTGGGTCTTCGTTGCTGCACGCGGGCCTTCACTAATTGCGACGAGCGGGGGCTACTCTTCCTTGCAGTGCGCAGGCTTCTCATCGTGGTGGCTTCTCTCGTTGAGGAGCACGGGCTCTAGGTGCGTGGGTTTCAGTAGTTGTGGCACGTGGGCTCAGTAGTTGTGGTGCATGGGCTCTAGAGCACCGGCTCAGTAGTTGTGGCACACAGGCTCAGTAGTTGTGGCTCCCAGGCTCTAGAGCGCAGGCTCAGTAGTTATGGCACACAGACTTAGTTGCTCCGTGGCATGTGGGATCTTCCCAGACCAGGGCTCAAACCCATGTCCCTCTGCATTGGCAGGTGGATTCTTAACCACTGCACCACCAGGGAAGCCCACAAATACTATTATTAAAGTGAGATATATTTATCTAGAATATACCTCCCTCTTGTTGCAATTACGTTCACGTTCACTAATATTGGATCCCACAGCCTGTAGATACTGAATTAATTACAATAATTCTTTTAAGAAATACAATGAAGTACCCACAGTCTTCTCAGCTTTGTGTTAGGTGCCATGAGGGATATAGGAGCTTATGTTATAATTGGGGAAATATGGTTTATATCATGTGCAGGAAATGGAAAACGTGGAAAATACTCTTGAGACCATAGATAAGGAAGCTCAAAATGGTGGTTGCAAAGACAGTTCAGCACTTTGTGGGGAGAAATTCAATGGTTCTTTCTATCGATGGAGAAGACTTATGGTTGACATAGGTGTGTCACCTGAGAGAGGCTGCATAACCCCCCTGACCTCTGTTTTCTGAGGGGTTGGACTAACCTCTCTACTAAGATGAGCTTTTCTCTTTTTATACACACCGTGTCAGGCACTGTGCTAATAACTATTTGATATAGACACTCTTCTTATGCCCTATTTTCTGATTAGGAGCCTGACTTTAGAAATTCACAAAATAGTTCAATGTCACACAGCCAGTAACTAAATGGAACCTGGATTTGATTTCATTTCTGTTCACCTCCAAGGTAAGCAAATTGGTTTCCCCAGGGCGCTGGGCAGTTCTAAACCAGGACCGATTCCTGAAGTTAGGGGAACCCTGTCAATCAAGCTAGCCGTTTCAGCTAGCCTGAAAGCTCCATGAGTGCAGGTCCCAGATTCATCTGTTTGCTCGTTTGTCCCTCTCTCTGCCAGTGCTTAGCACACAAGGAAGCACACAGTCAATGTTTACTGATTGAATGAGTTTTAAAATGGGGATGCTCTCCAGAGATGCCCAAATTCCACAGGTCTTGGGACTGAATACTACTGTCCCAAGAAGGAAGAATGAGCGCTTGAAATCTGAGGCCCTCTGTTAAACTCTGAGAAAGTGATGTGCTGGTAACTTTCTATTTGGTGCTAGAGAAACATTTGTGTTTGTGTTGGCTGTTACATTTTTATCATTAGGATATGAAACTGAAAAGGGAAAATAAGTTGTACCTGAGAAACAGGGAAGATCCCAAGTCATGGGGTAATCTACTGCTACTGAAGAAATCAACAAATGTCAATAAAACAAAATAATTTCACAGTCAAAGGAATTGTGTAACTATCTATATATTCCACAGCTTAACCCTGGATCACATTTAGTTTTGTTTAATAAAACCTGCTGTATTTTAGATTCTAAAATGTTGTTTAAAATTATCTGGAAAAATTGTCTAACAAAAATAATGATAGCTATTTTCCATAAAATAACTACTGAATTTATGGCCAAGGGCCAGGCAAGAAAAATATTAAAAGAATGAAGGATCTGGTCTGATCCTTCACTGTTAAAAGGAAAGCACTGAAGTCAAAAGTAAAGGAATTTAGCTGAAACCTGGCTGGGGGTGCAGACTGCCATTTATCCAATTTATGAGATAATATTTGGGTAAGGATGAAGAATTTAAAATGCCTAGGAGATACGGATTGTAAAACTAAATCCCAGCCGAAAAATATGGTCTTAGGGGAAAAAAAAAGAAAAAAAATGGTCTTAGGGCTCCCATTAACATAGCAAATGAATTTAAAAATAAAAGAGGGGTCAGCATGTACACTTGTGTTGAATCTGACTGAGCAATCTTGTCTCAGTTGAAATTTCCAACCCATGAACCTCAGCCTATTTGAGATGGCAAATCCACCCTAATGGCTGTTGGGTTAACTTTACAGCAGTGGAAAGGTTTAGAAATAGGTATAAAAATAGTAAGATAAATCAAACCCAGAGTACTAATATATTGTGTTAAATTCAGAAAAAGTTTTGCAATGATCAAGATTGTCTGCGTGTGTTCATTATTTAAATATAGAGTATTCTGTATATTACGCAATCTCGCTTGTGATTTCAAACACGTAACTGATTTTCTTCTGAGGTGTTAAGTTGGCAGGTGTTAGCGAATTTGGCTGAGTTTGTAAACAGAATTGGAGCGTTTTAAGAGAACTTCATTTAGTACATCTCTAAGTTTGAATTATTAATCTTATAAGAGTTGCTTAAGAGCTTGGAATACTTTGCTGGTTAGGTTTGTGAGTTCGCCTTGTCCGGTATCTGAAGTGTTTGAAAAAAATAAGATATATTAAATTTACAAATGTAATTCAAAATGTTAAGGGGAATTGAAGTAACTTTCAAATAGAACACAATTTTTAGGGGAACTTAACTTGGTAAACTTGAGTTAGTTGAAAGAACAAGTGAAAAGGATTGCATAAGTAGTATAGCAAGATTTGTAGGGTGCGAAGGCATAAAAAATTATGTTTTAAGATTTAATACTACATTCAATGTCATTTTAAACCCAATTAACTATAAGTAGTCCTCTGTAGGCACAAAAGTCTCCCTGGACTTTAAATAAACTCAACTGGCACCTATTCTTTGCTGCATGCCTATTCTGTCCTCCGCTCAGTGGGTGCTACTACTCCATCCTTTTGGACCCCACTCAGAATCTGTATCATTGGCAATCTGACCTATGGACTACTTCTGATTGGGAGGCTCCTAATCAAACAACCATGTGTCTACTTACTGGCTTCTTCTTTAACTTTATCCATTTCTGCCATTAATGAAACTTCTTTGTCAATGATGCTGGGGGAAAAAAACAAAAACAAAAGCAAAGAATGCTTAATCAAAGATAAACTTTTAATAAGCACTGGAAGTAAAAGGAAAATTATTTTCATTAAACAAAATACAAGATTACCATAAATATTTCTATGTTACATTGCCAGCAGCAGACTCTGCCTTTCCAAAAATGAGGCAACATGGAAGGGATGCTCCCAGTGTTACATAGTGACATCTGCTGATTAAATCATTGTCAGCAAATCTAAAAAAAAAAGCCTTTTCAGACTTTCAGAATTGCACTGCTTTGAATTTCAATTTGGGAGTATTTTTGCCCTATGAATTTTTGAAGTTCCAGAACAATATAATAAGTATTTAAAAGGTGGCACTCAGGTTATCAAGGCCTATAATTCTCAAATGTCTCTGCTTCACTCTCCCAGATTTGGGCTGGGAGGGAGAGAGGTGGGCCCAATGCTGATGCAGAGGGTCCTAGGACCCACTTTGAGAAATATGGTTCTGGGTCAATCCATCCACATGCTCTATAATGAGTCTATGCCTTCTCATTCCCCCAGATAAGCCTTTCAAGGTTAAATTAACTTTTTTCCATTATATTTAATATATTTTTGGTTAGTCCTTTGAAAAGGTATTACCTGCAAAAGTAATAATTTTCTGTCCAAAAGTTCATTTCTCTCCCATCCTGACTCTTCGCTCCCCTTGCAGTATCAACACATCATCACAAATCCCTTATGTATCCTTTCATAGATTTTTATGTGTAAATAAGCACAGATGCCAGATTTTAAAATTTTTCACTTCAACCATAATATTTCAATATAGGTATCTCAAAGATAAGGACTTTTGGGGAATATAACCATAGTATTACTATAATACCTAAAAACATGAACAATAATTTAATGTTATCAGATATCTACTCAATATTCAAAATTTCCTAATTGCCCCATACATTTTTTTAAAACAGTTTGTTTGAACCCGGATCTAAATAAGGTCTGTTCGTGACAATTTGTTGACTGTCTCTTAAACCTGTTTTAATCTATACATTCCCTCCCATCTCTCTTCCTTCTTTTTCCTCCCTTTGTTAAAGAAACCAGGTCCTGTAGAGTTGTCCAAGGTCTGAATTTTGCTGACTCCACGGCCATGGTATTATGTAACCCATTCCTTTATATTTTCTATAAATTCGTTATGAGATACAGAAATTTGATTAAATTCAGATTTGTTTTTTATTTCAGGAGAAATTATGTTATGTACTTCCATCAGCAGACACATGACAGGACACACTTATAAATACTGCTCCTGAAAAAAAATTAAACCTGAAGGTACTCAACTTTATACATCTCAAAATAAATGTACAGGAAATACAAAGAACATCTCTATTTTTTATGATATTAGCAGCTATTGGTGATCATTGCCTAGATCAAGAGGATTTGAGAAATGAGGATATTCAAATTCTCTCACTCCTTGGTTTATTTACTGAAAACTTCCATAAAGAGAAATTTTCCTTGATCAACTATTTGGTTATCATGAAGTACAGTTTGCATAGGCAGGGTAAATGCTTGATTCTCTCTTTTTATTTATCAGTTTTCAAAACGGTAGTTGGTTTCCTCCAAAAGTAACCAACGAGATTTTTTTTTGCTTGTTTGTATAGTTTAACTGTGAACTCATATTTAATGTGCTTCAATACACTGCAATTATTATCCTTAAAACATCCTTATTTATTACTACTCAGATTGTTCCAACAGATGTACATTTTTTTCTCCATCAGATGTATTCTTAAAATTTAAAGTGTGTTGAAAATCTATTTCCCCTTAAGAGGAAATATTTTGTAGTATTTGTCAAGGTACGAAGCGGCTCCTGGGATGTATCTCTAGGAGTTTGGGTCTCCTCATCCAAATGATGTAACCTAAACACGTGGACAGTAAGGACTGTGTGTTGAAGAGCTTGGCTCTTTCCAACCAGGAAATCCTAATGGAAAGAGCTGACGTGAACAAGGAACGGCAAACTCTCCAGAACTGGGCTCGAAGCCTAATCCATCAGGCATAGACATCAGCTCTCCCCATGACGCATGTGGTTTTAGGTCACTGGCTATAACCACTTTGGTGTAACTAGCGTATCAAGAGAATTGTACCTTATTTATTGACATTAAACACATACGATGTCAGTGTGTTTTAAACACAGGAAATACACGATACAGAAAGGTGTACGGCGAGAAGGAAGTCTTTATCCAAACTCTGTCCCAGTTTACTCAGTCCCCCTCCCTGGAGGTCTCCACTGTCACCAGCTTCTTGTGTTTCTTTCCAGAGATCATCTAGTCATAAACCAGCATATATTCGTTAATTGTACGAAATGCTGAGTTAAGTCAATAGGCTTGTGCTCCGGCGATCATGAGGAACTTAGCTTTCCTGTCAAGTTCACAAATGTAGCCACAAGCGATTGGAGAGGGCAGTTCTATGTTAGTTTAGAAAAACAAGGCTAATGGATAAGCTGGTAGGGAGATAAGGTGAGAACCTAGAGATTTGGAGTCAGGAGCCCAAATTATAACAACATGGCTAAGCTATTCTACCTGAGAAAATGTTTTGAATGTTTATTCCCTATAGAAAAGGAGGTGAAAAGAGAGAGAGTCAGCGAGAACGCTGGGAGCTGTGTAGGGTGAAGAGGCTGGGAGAAATCACCAGTAGTGGGGTAAGCAAAGGAGCTTGCAGAAGCGGGAGGACCACATACGCTACTGTGCGATATCCACTGTAAGGCGTGTGATGTGAGCCTTGCTTGGGATGTCCAGACCTTCACCACGCTTGGCGTGAATGGTCTGAATGTGTGTGGGTGCGCACGCGCGCGCGCACACACACACACACACACACACACACACACACAGGAAGTGGCTGGGTTTCACGTCTGGGTCAGTGCAGGGCTGAGAAATGGGAAGAGCAACAGCCTGAAGGTAGAGTGAGCATTAAGAATGTTGGGCCTCACCCGTATCCCTGAACCGGCACAAATCTTAGAGAGGTCTTTTGACTTCTGGCGGACATGAAACGGGAGTCCAAGGGGCTGGGACTCTGCTGACTTATGGGCTACAGGTAAGGTGAGACTTGCTCCATTCTCTTAATCAATGGAGTGAAGCCGGCTTGCACACATGTGGGGTGACGGTACAGAATATGTCACAAAGAGCACTAGAAGACTCCAGTCTCTGGAGAGACTGACAAAACATTCATCCACTGGACAAATATTGGTTGAGTGCCTGCCACGTGCCAGGCGAGGGTGGAGCTGGGAATACAGCTGTGGATTAAAAAAAAAAAAAAAAAAGATTCCTGCCATCCTTGTGGAGCCTCCATTCTTTGGGGTGAGCTGAGAGGAAGAGGGTGAAAGGACCTGCCGAACTTGCTGGGGAAATGGCGCAAAACAGGTGGAGAGGGAAGAAAACGATGATGGCAGGAGGAAGAAGTTAGGATTTCCCCACCCTCCATCAACCAGAAGGCTGTAATTAGTCTCCAGGATTTGAGAGCATGCAAGGTGCACAACCAAAGCAAATACATGCACGTGATACAAGATGGGGTACTTTAGACTTCAGGGGGCAGGAGGGGGTAGACCACAGTGAGAGTGCCAAGACAGTCTCATGTAGTCCCCATGCCCTCAGTCCCCAAACAGGGCCACGGACCCTGCAGCCTCTGTGTGTGTTGGATGAGAAGGATGGTGTAGGAAGGGGCCTTTGCTCATTTCTTTACCAGCTATAAGATTATAGTGCATTTTTGTTGCTTAAACTTGTTGATATAATTATGTGCCCAGAGAGTTTACAAGATGGACATTTGGGGTGCAACCGTATCCCCAGGTCTAACACATTAAACGTTGTGGATATGCACACAATGGTTAGTTTAGGCCTCCTGGGCTAGCAACAGGAGGGATGAAGGCTCTACACAATCAATTGTTAATCTGCTTAATGCCCACTGGAGGATGTGAAAAGCCTCTGAAGTTGGCATCAAACCATGCTTCCATTCCTCTGGGTATTTCGGCAAAACACTGTCCTCAAGCATCTTAGTAATTCAAGCACTGCTATGTATGATTGCTTTCAAAACTCATGCATAAAAGCAATCCAAGGGATCTCTGCTGAGTCAGGACCCTGCTCAGGACCCACGAACTGGATGCAAACCAGCATCAAGGTGCTAGCTCGAGGCAGTGCCCCAGGACCTCCCATGAGAGTCTCAATAAGGTGCACCTCAGAGTTTCACTGGATTTTTTTTTTTTCCTTTCAAGGCAGCAGGCTTGTGGGAGGGAATATTAAGAGAAGAGGATGTGGAAGATGAAGAGGATGAAGTAGCGGAGGCCAGCCGGTCCTCTGGCAGGCTGTCAGACAGTGAGGACCCAGCATCACAGCAAGCTGAGAGCCAGACCAAAGGAAGGTCCAAGAGGAAAGGCCGCGCCTAACACCTTTTTGGGCCGTACCACGGGGCTTGCGAGATCTTAGTTCCCTGACCAAGGATCGAACCTGTGTCCTCAGCAGCGAGAGCACAGAGTCCTAACCACTGGACCGCCAGGGAATTCCCTGTGTCTCACACCTTCTAAATGCCCGCAGTGCTGGGGGCCACACCCAGCTTCCTGAGTAACTTCATCAGTGCCATTTACAAGTCCCACTGAATCTTCTTAGAGACCCCAGGACAGAGATACGCACTGAAGTGCTGCCTGATACAGAACAACTCTGCAGGCTGGATAAAAGAGGAGGGTGCTGGGCAAAACCCAGTAGGGAGTTAGCAGATATGGAGGGCAGGAGGGAGGAATGGCACAGAGGGAGGAGACGACTCACAGAAAAATCACAGGCAGTGTCACTGTCCCCATTCCTACTGGAGAAGCAGAAAGGTCATATGCAGGCTTTCGAGATACCACTGTGTAGACAGCCTCAAAATGAGAGCTGCTCGTAACGAACACCTGAGTGCTTACTGCGCAAGGCCATCAGCGAGAGCACCGGTGCCCCACTGGAATGATCTCACCAAAGTTTCCCAACACCCCAGGAGGTATGAGCTCTAATTCTC